ACAGACGACACGGGGACCTAAATTTCCAGCTAACCCAAATACTGAGTGGGCATGGATGCTTTAGAAAGGATCTATTCCTATTTCAACATGATGTTAGTCCGTTTTGTCCGACGTGTACAGAGTGCATAGAAGACTCTGAAGACGTATTTTTTCAGTGCCCCCGTTTTTTGAATATTAGGGAAAAGTTAAAATCTACACTCGGTAGTCTAACGGTGGAAACCTTGACAGCACATATGTGTCAGTCTTTTGATAAATGGAAAGCTGTCAGCGAAGCGTCAGCTTTAATTATGACAAAACTGAGATACTTACAACAGATTAGGAGTCAGTCAGTCCGTACGGTAGAGGAGTCTTAAATGTCCTTTTCTCTCCCATGAAGTAATACTTAATCCGGTGGTTCCGTGGGAGAGATATGAGATGGGAGTAGGTTAGGCTTAGCGGATTAAAGTTCCGCACTTCGGCTTTCGATGCTTCCCCCTACTATAAAAAAAAAACAAAAAAAAAAAACAAAAGTGCTAAGCAATCGATCTTCGAAGGAAAAAAATGTTTCAGAATTGACCGAAGACATTTTTTGTAAAAAAGAGCACAGACTTCTCTTACAATATTTGTTTATTTTAATGTAAAAATTTCATGCAATGAAATACGTTAAATACCGATTATTCTGCGTGAACATACTAATTAATCAAATGGTAACCGGGTAACCTGCGGTCAAAATTTATACACAGCTAGGTAGATTTTGCAAACAACACGTCCGCGCAAACACATTTGCCTATGCGGCTGTATAGTAGATAGTTAGGTGAACGAAAAACCCACGCATGAATAAGTTATCCTTTCAGCCAGGTCATGAACAGGGGAAAGCAACTTCTCTTGTGACAAAACAGACAGACTTTCTTAGTTTATTTCCGTCTTTACGTAAGCTGCATAGGTGTATTTGTGTGTGCGTGTGTGTGTTTGTGCGACCAGAACTAAAACCTCAAAAGCACTCCAACAGCCAGCTACTTAATCACTAACCTCACTCGGTTACTTAGTTATGCAAACTACCGGCAACAGAGGCACTTCTCAAGTTACCCGGCGACACGGCACGACACGACCCCCACGCCCGTCATTGGCGTAATGAAAAATGTTTGCAATGCTGCAAAGCGAAAGTAATAAATGTTTGAAATGTCAGTGCGTAAATGGCAAATGCTATATCACTATTAATCCATACAAATATATCTACAGAGACGCATGCCTACATAGCTACTTGTAGACATACACATACTGGTGGCTACCACATGCGCGCTCAAGTGTCTTCTTCAAAGGACGCAAACCCTTTGGGAGGCGGCGGCAAGCGCTTAAAAATTAAAATGCTACGCTTATCTAGCTTGCTCCGAGAAAATGTAATTACAAGCAGGCGCACGCGCCGCCTTTTACCAACAGTTAAGTATTGCTTGGTGCGCTGGCGGTGGGCGGTTGCGTTTCATGTTGCAGGGCAATAAAGTCTCAAAATGTCTCGAAGTAATTACACATTCTCGACTTTATTTTGGCAATCAAATTTTTATATTCATATTTTAGTAGGCAATTATTTTGAACGATTGCAGACGAAACAAATTTGAAATGCAGACACTCAAAGTGAAAAGATTACCGGTACTGGCTGCTCTGAATTAGTTGAGATATATTGCTAATTTTTAGCGATAAAGAACTTTAATTTGTAGTGGTGTGTAGCTAAGATGCCTCGAAATTGTGTCTTAATTCTTTAATTCAATCAGTCAATTTATAATTTTTTCAAACTTCAGACGTTGATCGGAGACACTAGGGGTTTAAACATACACATTCCTTAGAATATTGACTCTAAAGGTTAGTTGGTTGGTAGAAAAATGAACGCAGAAGTATGGCCCTCATTAACTTCATTGTTTTTCTCAGTTGTAACCAACTGCCTAATATGTTTTCAGTTGGAACATTGGAAGCCGAACCCAAACACTGACGGCTGGCAATTCATAGAGAGAGGTTGAAAGATTTTTAGTCTATCCGCCATTAGCACTACCCGAAAGTGCTTTTGTGTCACGCCCTGTATTGCTAATGTACCAAGCACATTACTTAAAGTAACGCTTTAAGATGCCGCATGTCCTAGAAGAGTTTAACGAAACCGCATTTCCGATTACACCTGAGCTTACCAACTGGTCTGCCTTTTCATATCCTTCTATTCCCGTATAAATGGATGCCCAAATGATGCTCATCGATTTTTTCACTACAAGTCTAGTTATTGCCTCCGTACTACATAATTTTATATCACAATGAGCTTCCTAAAGGGCGAGGTGTATTGGAAGACAGCCACTCTACTTAATCTACCTACATAATTTTATACAGTGAGATTTCATATTCAGTAGGATTTCATATTAGCGCTACGGATAGCCTTTATTGCCGCTTGGCTGTCCACTAGAAGATTAATAGACTTGCTGTTTAGAACCGAAGCCGACTATACGGCCTGAAAGACTAAACTTTGTAGTCATTATGTGGATTGCTAAAGAGGAAGCCGGCTCCTGTTTCTGTTTCAACATTTTTGATCCACTGTACTGTTAAGTTCAATATCAAGAACGTGTAAAATATCATGCCGTGAGGCTGAGCCTGGTTCCGATGGCCTAGATCTTTGAGCCGACTGGCCGTAAGCACTGCATCATACTTCACTTTGGTATGTACTGGCCGGATATCGATAACGGTTTCCATAGCCTTTATTGAGGTGGTTTTCATAGCGCCTGTAATCCTCAGCAAACGGGTGCACAACACTTTTGCAGAGGTTTGATGCAGCAATTTTTCATTAGTGCCTTCCACCATATCAACGCATCAACTATAAATATGAGACGGTTGACACTTACGTAGAGCCAAGACTCATTGTTGGTTATTGAAATTTTCCAGTTTCCTTTCACATTCAGCGGGTTCTTAGATATTATTATTTGATTTTCTGCGGGTTTATAACCCACTTAAATTTTAAATTTTAAGCTGACTTTTAAACGGGGACGTTGCCAAAAAAATCTTGCTACTACACATAGCCGAGTCTTTTTTTTCAAGGCTCTCTGCTGAAATCCTATAATAACACACTGAACAGGGTATATTCAGTTTGCCACGAAGTTTGTAAAATCCAGAAGGTTACGTCGGAGACCCTATAAGATTTATATATAAATGATCAGCATGACGAACTGAGTCAATTCGGCCGTCGGTCCGTCTGTCAGTATATAAGCGAAGTAGTCCCTCAGTTTTTGAGATATCGATCCGAAATTCAGCACACGTTCTTTTCTCTCTAAGAAACTGCTCTTTTGTCGGAACCTACGATATCGAACCATTATAGCATATAGCTGTCATATAAACTGAACGATCAGTATCAAGTGTTTATATGGAAAACCTTTTCATTTGACGAGATATCTGCAAGAAATTTTGTCTGGATTGTTGTCTAAGGTAACGGTGTAATCTCCGAAGAAATTAATCAGATCGAGTCACTATAGCATATAGTTGCCATACAAACTGATCGATCAAATTCCAGTTCTTGTAGGAATCTTTTGTATTTGTTAGGAGTATTATAGCTTGGGTGCAGCTTTTTCTTGTTTTATCTTAACTAACTGCAAGAGTTTAGGTTAGGTGTCAGTTGTTTGTAATGCAGCTCTTGTTGGTTCTAGGGTGATTGTCTGTGATTCTAAATTACCTGAACTTAGGTTATATGGAGTCAGAAATCATCTAAACTGCCCTCAGGTTACTACTTTAGTATGAAGAAGGTACATGCACTAAAAGAGGAATCTCTAAACAATTTTTCACTGAAGATTTTAAAATAATTATAAAATTGAGCGTTTCATTCAAAACGCTGATGCCTGCTTTATAAATTGTTGTAATGCTTTAAGAAAATGCTGTAAAATTCCATTTAACCTTATTGTCATTGTAAAAGTTCAGGCAGAGCCGGCTAATAATAAATGAGTAATAAGTGTATGCTTTTGCAAAAGCACCGAAGAAATTTAGCAAAAAAGATGTATAATACAGGAAACGCAATAATCCCGGAAGCCTTAATGTGTCAAGTAGAAGAAATACTTTTTGTTGTGCTCTTACATTGTCCACTCATATTTGTAAGCATTTCAAAATTACAATGTTACACTTAGCATCTGAACCAAATTAATTCGTCAAAAGTAATATTGCCCAAAATTAATATTTCAAATTTTAATCAAAATTCACATTCCCTACAAAAGTTTCAATTTACATGCCGGAATATATTTTGCATTAAATTAGCAAATAATTTGCCTACTTAACCCAAATATTGCTTTTTGCTCTCTCTCTCTCTGCAGCGGCCACAAACGGCGCACACACACAAAGTATATATATATATTGCTCTCTGTCTAGGTCGAAATTAAGTTTTTGTCGTTTAAGCGCAAATAATTGCAGGCCGAATGAACGAATGAATGTAAATATTAAAACCACTCGACTGGCACAGAAACAACAAGCTCGCCACAAAGCACCTAACCTTTGGGTGCTGCCACCACCTTCTGCTCGTCGCATTCATCTTTCTAACTCCCTGCCATTTGCCCTGTTTGGCCTTTCTGTTGTGCTGTTGTTGACATTTACCCTTTTTGTCATTCCGAGAGTCCTAGCCACAGCCAGAATCTCGGGGGCACAATGTGGTTGCACCCATACACTTGCCATTTGTATGCGCCAGCCAATTGTGTCGACCTGCTGCGTTTTGTTGCGGTTGTTGCATTTATTATTGTTGTTGTTATGTTTATTTTATTTGGTACTAGTTTCGGTAGCAAAACTACTTTGAAATGTTAATTAAGCAGGTAGCAGCGCCTCGGCTATTTCAAAAGCCAATTTAATTAATATTTAAATGACTTTAATATGGGGCCAAATACGTAAGTTTACGAGTTCAATTTTGTGTTTGTTTAATTATTTATATGCCATGTACTCCCTTGTGCATGCCCCTACGCTTTGGCACCGCTCATTTACATACTTTTTCTTCTTCTTTCTCTGTTCTCGTGTCAATTTCATTACAGCTCATTGTGGAAATCAACAGCCAAGTGGCGCTCTTCCGTGATATGCTAATACATGTGGGCCAAGCAAGGGACTGCCCCGAATTGCGAGAGAAGATTCGTAAATTGCGCCGAACTTGCGTGGAGGCGTGCAAACACACGGGTCAGATAATCATGCCCCAAGTGAAAAGGTGAGTGTTGCTCAAAATAATAAAATACATTTGGATTGGAGAGGAGGTGTGTAGTACATTAACTTGTTTGTGTGAAAAATGGTTGTAAAAAATTGGCAATGGAAGTGGTAGGTGGTAGCAATAACTAGAAATGAAATTTGTTGTTGACTTTATTAAATAATGAATTATTCATGGCGCTCATCTTGTCTATTTATAATTTACAGTCAATACAAGCTCACTGTTAACGTTATCTGTATTCTTATTATGTACGTATAACTTGATATTCAATCTCGAAATTTTTTGTGTATAATCCCGAAATTTCGGGATTCTGAAAATCAAAATTTTTTACTCAATTTTGAGAAATTTAGGCTTTAATGCCTTGAGATATGTTCTACGTTTTGAAAATAAGATTTCTGTGTCTCAAAAGTAGTTTTTATATCCGAATTTTAACCATATATTTGTACATACAAGTATGTAAGTAGGTATGTACATTTAATTTGTTTCACCAGCGTAATTCTTTCAAATACACATCAATCGACAGAAAATGTGCAAGTTTTCAGGTTCGCACACTAAAGCAAAACTCACCGGCGCCTTTTGATAATAATATTGCAGTTTCAGATTCCAAACATCACAAAATCCCTAAAAGGATCAAATTGAAAATACACCAATATCACCGACTTAAAGCAATATTTCCGAAAAACATCTTTTGCGTTTGAATTTAAAAGTAATTAACCCAGCAAAAATAAAAAAAAACTGACTTACTGAGAAATGCTAATCCCGAATTTAAGAATATTTTCTCTTGTCAGTTTCACAGAAAAATAAGTTACAAATCTATTTAGCTGAAAAGAGATAAATTAAATTTTGCGTTAAAATAACTATGTAGTCCCGAATCATCGGGATCCCGAAATCTAGTCCCGAAATTTAAAGTTCTTGAAAATGATATGAGAAATGTGAAATATGATTAAATAGCTATTTACATTTTTACTCAAGTTACCTATTCATAAGATATACTTAATATATTATGGTCCAAAATTTTAATTTTCTTAAAAAAATATCTGAATACTATTTTTTGTTTGTACGATATAACATACAAGTATGTGAGTTAAACTTATAAGTATTTTCGATATTCAAAACCTAACCTACACTAAAAATGAACTGGTAATACCTAGCATTCCAGTGAAATTTACAAAATACCGTTATTAAAGCATCATTTTCATACTTTTATTTATAGTATAAGCACTTTCCGCTATTCACCGTACCTCCTTCATCACTATTTTAAGCAATTTACAATGTTATTAAAAATAATTTTTCAATAATCCCGAAAAAGGTTTATTTTGGTTGCCTGCGTAAAAAATATCCATATTTATTTGCCACAATAAACTTGTATTCAAACTACCATCAAATAAACAATCCTTGAAATTCGTACAGAAAGGGTAATAAATACATTAAATACCCCTTGAATTCGTACAGAAAGGTTATTAAATACATTAAATACCCCTTGAATATAAAGGGTTTCGATGTAGTATTTCATTTAATTTCCATGCGTGATATCAAAACTTTAAACCATCAAATATTTTTTTCCAACTTATTTCCAGTAATTTACATGTAATTACATGACCAAGTTGACCATAGTAGCAAAACATGTAATCAATATGGGAAAGTTTGCGAATTTTTTCATTGGTTAGGATTTAAAATATCAGCAATTTAAAGTTTTTAAACATTTCTTTTACATGAACTCATATACACGCACGGAAAGCAAGCAGTATCTTTTTATGTATAGCAACCTTTACATTAGGTTTGAGGTTATGTTTAATTCTATGGTAACTTTTTTTTTAAAAAAAGCATGTTTATTTGTTTGCCATTTGAAGCAAGATATTAAAAGTTGAGTCAAGCGAGGTATGATAATATATGCAATCGAATACTTCACTACCACTTCAAGATGTCAAAGTACAGTTTATGGAAATGCCTGCTTTTATGAATACTCTCGCGGGGCATCTTTTTTGTAATTTTTTTCTTCCCTAAATAAAGTGTTAATTGAAAATGAGTCTTCTTCTTCTTTGACATCATATTGAGCCAACCAAATTTTTACCCATTATTTTAATACCCGCCTAAAGTAGCTTTGTTCGGCATACTTTTATAAAAATAGTCCGAACAACTAATTTACTCTCCGCATAAATGAAGAGCCCAATTAATGCTTACCAACATATTCAAAAATGTTGATTTTGAGCTGAAAGTTAATAAAACGCAGCTCATATGTTGTTTGCTGTTGCATTCAAAACCTTTATAATATACTTCCTGCTATCAATGCATTTATTTCCCTGCAGTGCAGAATTTTGATTAAACTTTCCGCGCCAATAATATTCCATGCATGTTGTACTCGTACGTATGAATAGATGATGTATTTGTGCATTGATTTTTCACTTAAAGCGGCGGCAATGCGCCACCACTATTAAATCACGTTTTAATCAACACCTCCACGCAGCAACGCTCATGAAATACATACTCGCACAATTGATTGAATTTAATAATTAATATGCATGAGCCCAAAGCGGTATGAAAGCAGAGCTCGCTCTTGCTCCTTGTAGTGGTGTCTGCTTGAAGTGGCATTATCTCTGCATTAAACATGGAGAAGACCGCGCGAAAAGCTTGCATGTAAGCGTAGTGCGCGCTCGAAACCACAGTCATGCTGAGTGGACATAAAATTATTAAATTGAAATTTAAATAAGCACTTGGTGCTATGTAGTAATTGCATTCAATAAGAGGTGATTAAATGCGCTTAATGAAATAAATGAACCGTGGCTGCTTAATATTTATTATGTACATAATTATCAATTCAAACTATCATACAAAGTTTATTTATACAGATAATCTAAAGTTTTTTATATCTATAACACATCGTAATCTGTGATATGTGATCACTTCATAGTGGTTTAAATTGCACATTAAACCGATTCATGAAATCACATTAGATAGCATGAATTAGATCATGTAATATCACATCACATGTAATATATAATATAACATATTTACATCATATGAAAAATCGATTCATATCATACACATTGAGTAAACTCAATCCATATAAGATACCATCGAATTACCATTGCTTCTTAAATTAAAGCATATTGGGTATGTACTATGAGATTAGCTGAATTTAATTATTCACACATTTTATCAGATTATGTAATATCAGTATATCACATCACAAGATACCAGATCAGATGTTATCAGATTACTTTACAAAATATCTCTTCACATGATACCAGATCAAATGTCATGATCATTTCACGCAATATCACATCACTTGACTCGAGATCAGCTGTTATCATTATACTTCATTAAATGTTACATCACATCATACCTGATCAGTTTAGGTAGCGAATTTGCCAACTCACACCATATCAAATCACGTCTTACAATATTATAATATATAAAATTAGATGAATTTAATTGATATTACAATCTAACAAGAAAATATCATCCGCAATCCCGCAAGCTTCATTGATGTCGAAAAGCTAAGGCTGAACACATATGTGCATATCAAGCAGAAACGGATCCATTGGGGTTGGTAGGTGGTGATTGATCGAGTGTCAGATTGTCACACTTGAAAAATCAGAGATTTCAATTCAAATTCAGAATAATTTACGAAGTAAAATCAATCTTAAAAATATGTTGGAAGGAATAACCACTCCAGAAAGAAATACTCGATCCGCCACTGATATCAAGTAAGGGAGTAAAGCAACGGTATGGAAGCACTTACCCATCTAACAAGCAACCAAAATGAGATTATCAAATGTAAATGAATATACATTTTTCTACTGATTTTACCATTGCTTCGCACTGTACAACACTACTTATCTTACGCATCTGTCAAATAAAACTCATTAATCTCACGCAAAAAGAGAATATAAAAAAATATGTGCGGAAATTTCGTAAGACCTATAGCTACACTACACTGTTAATGATAATAGCATATGTGAAAATATATGCATATACGTTTGTGTACACTGCCAACAGATAAGCATATTTTTACGCATCAAATTACCAATAATAATAACGCCAAAGGCAACAAAAAATTTTAATAAATGCTCCTGCAGCGATCTCCTGTCTGACAGTATGCTCCGTAAATACTCGTACGCTTTCAGCACTCTTCTTCGAACTGATTGCCGATACTTCGAATCGTTTTAATATGAAATCTCAGCCACAGTGACAAGAAAATCCTGAACGCAAGTGCTACAAGTAATACCTACAAGTATGCCTATGTATGTGTGCACTTATGTGTGTGTTACATATAGGTATAAGCTAGCAAGTTTTTCCACTTCATATGCCATCCCTTATCCCTCCCCCAACTGACACACTCAACTTTCCATGTGATTTATCATTTTCCAACAACAATAAATTGCTCATAAATGCATTGTGTATTGGTTACAAATACGCACACACACACACACAAGCAAGTTGTCTGTGCATACTTTGGCAGTGTTTGTCAACAGGAAATGAATGATGCTCGAATTGACGAAGTTTATTTATTTATTTTCGTGCTTGCGATGATTTCAATGCGATTTTTTTGTCAATAGCACATAATACATACACATACAAATACACTCGTATACATACATATATACATTTTTAATGCGCCAAATATTGCTGGTACGAGCATCAGGTATATACAGTTTATATTTTCGCCGGATATTCCTAGTATCCGCATTTTTTATCATCGGCGTGTTTGTTTTTAGAGTGCGTGTGTGTGTCTAACTGTATCTTAACGCACGTTTTATGTATAAATATTGAATTTTGCGCCATCACTGGCATGACACTGACACGAAAGAGTTAAAAACGCTAAATTTATTTTCAATTATTTTTAATTTTTTTTTCAATGCACGTATTGCTGAAATCTCGTTGTTCTTTCGTTGGCACTAACTTGCAATCAATCATTGTTTGTCGGCTGCGCATTTTAGATTCGTTTGCAATTTTTTGCAAATGGGAAATATGATTTTTATATAATAATAATTCAACAAATT